GGGCTTGCAGCTCCTGAGCACCATGCTGCTGCTGGTGGGCGGTTTTCTCTTGTACTTAGAGTACCAGGCACTGACCAGGAAGGGCAGCGCCGGCTCCTCGGGGGTGCACGTCGCTGGTCTGCTGGGGGCTGAGGCTGCACGGAGGAAGGACATGCAGCGAGAAGAGAGTAGGTGGCCCAGGGCGGGGAAGGGTCGGACCCAAGCTCTGTTCAGTTTTCACAGGACAGATTCCTTTGCCTTTTGTCCACTTTTTATATGTTGTCCGGACCACTTCATTAAAAATTTTATAGATGTAAGCAGTTTGAAATTATGATAATAGTAGCTTTCATTGGTAGTTGGTGGCGCTGTGTGCCTTCGAGTCGTAATTGGCTCAGCTGACCCTCCAGCCAGTTTTCAGAGCAGGTTTGAGAGCGCAGGTAGCCAAGGGGGAAGGAGTTGTGCTGCCAGCCACCAGCCCAAAGGCACATGATTTCAAATCCACCGGCAGTCCCTTCCTGTGCCGTGTACAGCCTCTGAGAACCCCACACATCACAAGGGCGGAATTTACCCATCTTTCTCCCACGACTGTTGGATTCGAACCACTCACCCTTGAGTTGGCAGCTGAATTCGTACCCACTAGGCCACGGGAGTTCCCTAGCGTTGGTAGAAGTGATAGTTAAAAGACCATATGTTTGTGTTTCTGTTAGGTGAACTCTGGTGGCGGTATTAACATTAGGGAGTTGTTACTAACCTAAAGTCCTTGCCTCACTTGGAGTTCAAATTCACCAGCTGTTTCATGGGGAAAATATGAGCAGTCTTCTCCCTGTGCTCTTTAACAGCTTTTGAAACCAGCTGGATTTGGTTCTGATTGACAGCAATGAGTTGAGTTGTGTTTCTATTACAGTGTCTGAATTTACTTCTCATAATATTCAGATTGCTCTCATTTAATAAAGGTAATAATAACTCACTGGATTTCTGCGTTGAAAGAACTGTTAGCAGTTCTTCATGCTACCATTGGGGAAATTGACCCAAAAATTTAAATGACAAAAAGAATTCTTGATTCACCCATCACAGCCTTCATTCTTCTTCTCCCTCCCCGCCCCCGCCTTTGTTCCGTATTGACTGGCACTGGAGGAGATTGCCCCTCCTTCTCCAGCAGAGCATCCGGTGAATTTGAACCGTTCACCTTCGGGATTGCAGTGCAGCTTCCTCATTTCATGGATGATACCTGGCCAGTAAAATTGAGTCATTTCGGAGTTAGCAGCACAATTTCCTCAAGATTACATCACCAGAGTTTCTGTGAAACTTATGTCATTTTTGCAGTCTGGTTTTGAGGAATAGAGTTTTTAAGTTAGCGTGTTATGTCAATTTTAATGTCTTTTTATTTGCAAATAATCAAAATATGCTTGTCTTAACATTCTTTTTTCTTTACTCTCTTTTCTTGATTTACATGCAAGAATTCGTTTACCTTGTGGTTCATGGGTACTGTGTTATATACAATCCTTCATTTACATTGTTTCATGCAATAATTTATACACACTAGATTTCATACAACCAGTCACTATTGATCTATGCCTATTATTTAAGGTTCTTTTCTAAAATATTGAAATAGTGTTTTTGTGAATATTTACACAGTCTATTAGATCCCAGTCTAACAATTTCTGACCAGTTTTGTTCAGTTTCATTAAATTTTTCATAATGCAGTTAACTTTCTCATTTCCATACTTTTTGTTCCATTTCCAGTAAACTGCTGTCCCTGCCCCCTTGCCTTTTAAAGAGTCTGTAGGAAGATATCAAGAATATCATTCATGAAGAATGCAAAAACTGGAGCACCCCATGCCATCCTCCTCGCCCGGTGGTTGCTACCTTCTGCAGTGGCATCTCTCGCCTGGGCACAATGGCAACTCTTAAGGAAAAATTCATTGCACCAGTTGCAGAAGAGGAAGCAGCAGTTCCAAACAATAAGATCACTGTAGTGGGTGTTGGACAAGTTGGCATGGCATGCGCGATCAGCATTCTGGGAAAGTCTCTGGCTGATGAACTTGCCCTTGTGGATGTTTTAGAAGACAAGCTCAAAGGAGAAATGATGGATCTGCAACATGGGAGCTTATTCCTTCAGACACCAAAAATCGTAGCAGATAAAGATTACTCGGTGACAGCCAATTCTAAGATTGTGGTGGTAACTGCAGGAGTTCGTCAGCAAGAGGGGGAGAGTCGACTCAATCTGGTGCAGAGGAATGCCAATGTCTTCAAATTCATTATTCCTCAGATTGTCAAGTACAGTCCTGACTGCATTGTCATTGTGGTTTCCAACCCAGTGGATATTCTTACGTACGTTACCTGGAAACTAAGTGGATTGCCCAAGCACCGTATGATCGGCAGTGGATGTAACCTGGATTCTGCTCGATTTTGATACCTTATGGCAGAAAAGCTTGGCATTCATCCCAGCAGCTGCCATAGATGGATTTTGGGAGAACATGGCGACTCAAGTGTGGCAGTGTGGAGTGGCGTGAATGTGGCAGGAGTTTCTCTCCAGGAACTGAATCCAGAGATGGGGACTAACAACGATAGTGAAAATTGGAAGGAAGTACATAAAATGGTGGTTGAAAGTGCCTATGAAGTCATCAAGCTCAAAGGATACACCAACTAGGCTTTTGGACTAAGTGTGGCTGATCTGATTGAATCCATGTTGAAAAATCTATCCAGGATTCATCCAGTTTCAACAATGGTGAAGGGGATGTATGGCATTGAGAATGAAGTCTTCCTGAGCCTTCCATGTATTCTGAATGCCCGAGGGTTAACCAGCATCATTAACCAGAAACTGAAGGATGACGAAGTTGCTCAACTCAAGAAGAGCGCAGACACTCTGTGGGACATCCAGAAAGACCTCAAAGACCGGTGACGTTTAAGTCCTAAGCTGTAGAAGTTAAAAAACTATAATGTGATACATTTGAGCCTTTAGTTATCATCCATGTACATGGATTAGTTTGCTTTCCTCTTCCTAAATATGTGAATTTGGGCCCACAAGATAAAAGTTCATGCTTGGCTTAATTTGCAATATGAGCCCTTAGAAAAATAAAATGATAATGTGAAAAAAGAAAGAATGCAAAAACTCATTAAAAAGAAGAAAAGACCAAAATGGATGTCAGAAAAGACTATGACTAGAGCACTAGAGCACCGAGAAGCTAAAGGAAAGGGAAGAAATAAAGAAATAAGGAGCTGAATAGGAGATTTCAAAGGGCCATTCAGGAAGACAAGGCAAAATACTAATGAAATAAAAAAAAAATGAAATGTGCAAGGAGCTGGAGTCAGAAAATCAAAAGGGCCAAATTGGCTCACCATTTCTTAAGCTGAAAGAACTAAAGAATGAATTCAAGCCACAAGTTGCAATGCTTAAGGATGCTATGGGCAGAATATTCAATGATTTAGGAAGCATTGAAAGAAGATGGAAGGAGTATACAGAGCTATTGTAACAAAAAGAATTGGCTGATACAGAAGAATTTTAAGAAACAACATGTGAGCATGAGGCAGTGGTGATGAAGAAGGAAGGGCAAGCTGTTGTGAAGGACTTGGCAAAAAAACCCCCAGGAATTGATGGAATATCAGTTGACATATTTCAGCAAACAGATGCTACCCTGCATGTGCTCACCAAGTTGTGCCAAAAATCTGGAGGAAAACTGGCCAACTGACTGGAAGAGATCCATATTTATTCCCATTCCAAAAAAGGTGATCTGACAGAGTGTGGAAATTATAAAACATTATCACTAATATCACACACTAGCAAAATCCTCCTGAAGATTACCCAGGGAAGACTTGAACGGTACATTGACAGAGAACTACCAGAAATAAAAGCTGGGTTTAGAAGAGGTCATGGCACTAGAGACATTATTGGCAATGTCAGATGGATCTTGGAAGAGTGCAGAAAGTACCAGAAGAATGTCTATCTGTGTTTCATTGACTATGCAAAAGCATTTGACTGTGTGGATCACAATAAATTGTGGCTAACCTTGAGGAAAATGGGAATCTCAGAATACTTGATCATGCTTATACAAAACCTGTATTTGGACCAAGAAGCATTCCTCAGAACAGAGCAAGGAAACACTGCATAGTTAAAATCAGGAAAGAAGTTCATCAGGGATGCATCCTGTCCCCATACTTTTTCAATGTATGCAGAACAGATCATTCGGGAGGCAGAGCTTTATAAGGAGGAGAGTGGCATCAAGATTGGAGGAAGACTCCTTAGCAACATATAATATGCAGATGACACCACCTTGCTTGCTGAAACTGAAGAAGATCTGAAGCACTTGCTGCAAAAGGTCAAGGAAAAGGTCAAGGACTGTAGTCTTCAATGTTCATTGAAGCTCAGCATCAAGAAGACAAAGATTCTCACCACTGGGCCAATGGGCAGCACCATAATAGATGGAGAAGAAATTGAAGTTGTTAGCAATTACAGCTTGCTCAAATCCACAATCAACACTCTTAACACCAGCAGTCGGGAAATCAAAAGACAAATTTTATTGGGGAAATCTGCTGTCATGGACCTCTCCAGAGTGCTAAAGAGCAACAATGTCAATCTACATACAAAGGTGTGCCTAATACAGCCCATGGTCTTCTCAATTACTTGCTATTTTTCATGGAGTTGCACAGTGACTAAGGATGACAGAAGAAGAATCAATGCCTTCGACTTGTGGTCCTGGAGAATAGTCTTGAACATACCATGGACATACCAAGAAAACAAATATGTGTGTCTTGGAGAGGGTGAAACCAAGTCTCTTCTTGGAGTCTAGGATTTTGAAGCTCTGCCTCACTTACTTTGGGCACATGACCAGGAGAGATCAGTCCTTGGAGAAGGACATCATGCTTGGAAGGGTGGACAGACAATGCAGGAAAGGAAGACCCCGGATGAGATTGGTTGATACAGTGACTGGGGCGATGGGGGTTGGTGTGTCAGAATTAGTGAGACTGGCTCAGGACAGGGAAAGGTTCGGAGCTGCTGTGCATAGCAGGTGTTATTACATACGATGACAGGTTTGGAAGCAGGAGTGGCATCCACTTCTGAACAATATGCCTCCATTAACTCTATGAACTTTGATAAATGTTCATAGTTGTAGAGGGCTTCAAGCTTTTTGTTCATAGAGTCTATGAGTCATGCTTGACTTGAAGGCAATCAACAACATGTTTATCTTATGAGCCAATCTGATACTTAGAAAATGACTTCCTGGAATAGCTTTGGTTGAAGATTGAATATCTCAGTGTGATGGTCTTAGAAAATTGTTTAGTCTTAACTGGTCCAGTAAGTTTGAATTTTAGGAATTTGAGTTCCGTTCCGCATTTGAGTCCCTTTATATCAGGAACTATCTAATGTGTTCATTCATTCATTCATTTATTTATTTACTTATTTATATATATATATAATGTGTTCTGATCCCAGCATTAAGTGGAGATGGCATTGCACCATCTAGTTCTGGTAGTTCTGGTTTCAGGGTAGATGAGGTCCTGGTTCATATAGACATGGTCCTGTGGACTAGTTCCATCTCTTGAATCTTTGGTTTTCTTCTTTCTTTTTAACTCCAGGTGTCGTAATAATCTTATTAATACTCCTTAATAGTCTTTCAGATATTGCATGCCTTGGATATCTAGCATACTTGATCACGTTTTTAAAAAAAAAAATTTGAAAAGATTCTATTACTGTGCTCAGGTTAGAAAGTGACCTGCAACACAGCTACTTAGTCCAAATAACTTTGTTGTTGTTGTGTGCCATTGAGTCATACCAACTCATGACCCTCCAGCAGGTTTTCAGAGGCAGTAAATCACATGGGAGGAGACTGCTCATCCTTCTCCCTCAGAGCAGCTGGTGGATTGGAACTGTGTGCCTTAGTTCAAATAATGTGTCGTTTTTATTTTTAGATTGTGGAATAGCCCCGCTGCTGGATGCCAGGGAAGGGTCTCGAATTATAGGGGGCACCGAAGCTCAAGTTGGTGCATGGCCATGGATAGTGAGCCTGCAAATGCGGTTTGGCAGTGCTCATGCTCATGTATGTGGGGGAAGCTTAGTGAAAGAAAGGTGGGTCCTCACAGCTGCTCACTGCATTAAAAACGCTAGGTATGTATTCAAAACACAACTTCTGTTATATTACCTTGGAAGACAATTTGAAGTGATCTTATCTAATTTTAACCTTTTTCCGTTAAGCCATGTAGTTTCGGTTAGCACATAGTATACAAGGAATCTTTCTTGAAATGGACATTTATAATAAAATTTTGATAATTTTTCCTGTAAAAATGAAATATTTTGTGTTTTGCCATCTTGATGATGGTCTTTATTGCAGCTACTCAACTAACCCCTAGTGACAGGTAAGCTATATTTAGTCCGAGTCCTTTAGAAATATAACCTGAAGGAAAGTATATGGACTGATTCCTTATTGGAGAATGCCATACAAGGCAACAAAGTGAAGGAACAAAGGAGATGAAACAGAAAGGAAAACAAACTAAAAGGTGGTACATTATTGAGCTTGCTGTGACCTCACAGGCAAAGAGTTAGTTGCCTGTATGAGAAATGTCTCAGGATAAATTATGGTGTTTTTGAACAACCCAGGGTGAGGGGTGGTGAGGAAGAAGAGTTTACATGCTGGTCCTCCCTTGTCTCCTCTCTCTCATTGGTCAAGTTTAACCCAGTGGGTGTTGATTTCTGTGCATTTCTGACCTGGGAGAGTAACCCCTCCAGGTAAATGTTAGGATAGGTAAGTCCCTCTTGATTCCGCAGTGTCTAGAAGTACAAAGGAGACCCGTCAGATTTAGTTGAGCACTGCTGAGACTGTCATTTCAGTAAGCACAGTAGACTCTGAGCAGAGCCTGACCCTTATTTACTAGGTGGCGAAGACAATAGAGTTAGAAAATAAAAACATGGAAACAGTTGCTGTAACCCTTCATTGAGCAAGTGATGGAGAACAAAGAATGGAAGTGTGTGGAGCCGACCAAATCCGGGAAGTACATATGAATTCGGTCCAATACACTTTGCCAGCCATCCTCCTCAGTTAGTGATATAATTGTCCATTTTTCAATCACTGGTTGTTGTTATGTGCCGTCGAGTCACCTGCAACACATAGCAACCCTATGTACAATAGCCCAAAACTCCACTCTCTCCTCTGCCGATCTTACTGTCTGTGAAACACCTACCCCAATCACTAAATCAATCCATCTCATTGAGGGCTTCCTCTCCTGTGCTATCCCTCTACCCTCCAAGCATGATGTCCCTCTCCAAGGACTGACCTCTCCTTGCAACATGTCCAAAGTATGTTGCCTCAATATCCTTGCCTCCAAGGAGTAGCCTAGTCTCACCCTCTCTAACATGAAACTGTTTTTTCTCCTAGCAGTCCATGGTATATTCAGTACTCTTCTCCGGCACCACAGCTCAAAGACATCAGTTCTCCTTCTATGATCCCTAGTCCTTGTCCAGCTTTCTGATGCATAGCACACAATTGCAAAGACTGTAGCCAGGATCAGGCACACCTTAGTCTCCAGACTGACATTGCTGCTCTTCTGTACTTCGGAGATGTCCCTGACAGCAGACTTACCAATGCAATTTGTTAAAATTTAAATAACTCCCTAAGATAGCAGTATGTCTTTTATACTGTAGTTAATGTTATATCACAAGCAGTCTCATTACTATTAGATATTGATATTGAGAATATGGACTAGTGATGCTTGAAAAATTAGTGAGTCATGGATAGGGCCATTTTAGATACAGAGAGAAGCAGAAATTGTAGAATATGAGACACACACTTATTACCTTTAATCTAACCCCTTTGCCATTGAATTGATTGTCTTGACACTACAGGATAGAGTAGCACTGCCTTATAGAGTTTCGGAGATTGGAGTTTTTATGGAAGCAGACAGCCTCATATTTCTCCTATGGAGTAGCTGGTGAGCTTGAAGTGCCCACCTTCTGGTTAGCAGCCAAGCTGCTTAACCATTGTGCCTCCAGGACTCCTTGTTGTTAGGTGCAATCAGGTCAAATACGTCTCACAGTGGCCCTATGAACAGCCACCCTGAAACCTGCCCTATCCGGTGTCATCTGATCATCTCAGAGACACTGGAGCACATTTCAGTGTCAATCCATCTTATTGGGGGTCTTCTTCTTTTTTGCTGACCCTCCATATTTCCAAGCAATGATATCCCTTTCCAAGCAATAGCCTTGCCTAGCTACATGTCCAAAATATGAAAGATGAAGCTTTGTCATCCTTGCCTCCAAGGAGAACTCTGGGTACACCCTTTCCAAGACATATCTGTTCTCTTGGTACTCCATAGAATATTCAGTTCTCTTTTTCAGCACCATAGCTCAAAGGCATCAATTCTTTTTCTGTCATTATTATTCACTGTTCAACTTTCTGATATTTAGCAGGTGACTGAAAAGACTGTGGCCTAAAACAGGCATACCTTAGTTTTCAAACTGATATTACTGTTCAGTGTTATGGAAAAGTCCTTGAGAGTAGACTTGCGCATTGTCTCCTGATTTCCTGACTGCTGGTGCCAAGGGTGTTGATTGTTGACTCAATCCAGATGGAATCCTTGACAGCTTCAATGCTCACTTGCTGGTTCTGTGGTGAGGATCTTTGTCTTTTTAATGTTGAGACATAATCCAATCGAAGGCTATAGTTCTTGGTGTTCTCTAGCAAGTGTTTCATATCCTTCTCTCTTTCAGCAAGCAAAGTGTTATCATCAGCATAATGCAGGTTGTTGATGAGTCTTCCTCCAATCCTGATACCACATTCTTCTTCAGTGAGTCCAGCTTCATGAATTATTTGCTCAGCATACAGATTGAATATTATGGAGAAAAGGTACAACCCTCATGTACACCCTTCCTTATCTTAAATCATAATGTTCCCTTGCTTTGTTCAAACAATAGCTTCTTGACCTCTCTATAGATTCCAAATTAAGTGTTCTGGGATTCCCATTCTTCTCAATGTGAGCCAAAGTTTTTTATGATCCACACAGTCAAATACCTTTGTATAGTCAATAAAATATACATTCTTCATGTATTCTCTGCTTTCAAATAGGATCCATCTAACAACATCAGCAATGGTATCGCTGGTGTGGCAGCCTCTTCTAAAACAAACTTGTACTTCTTGTAGTTCCCTGTCAGTGTATTGTTCTAGATGCTTTTGAATGATATTAAATAATTTACTTACATGAGATATTGATATTGTTCGATAGTTTCCACATTCTGTCAGACCACCGTTGTTAGGAATAGGGACAAATATGGACCTCTTCCAGTCAAACTGGCCAGGTAGCTGTGCTCCAAATTTCCTGCCATAAACTGGTGAGCACATCCAAGGATGCATCAGTTAGTCCAAACATTAATTAGTACCAAGTTTCTCCTTGGAGGCTAGGATTTTGAAGCTCTGTCTCACATACATTGGGCACGTGGCCAGTAGAGACTTTGGAGAACAACATCATGCTTGGAAGGGTGGAGGTACAGTGCAGGAGAGGAAGACCCCAGATGAGACAAATTGATACAGTAACTGGAGCACTGGTGGTTGCTGTGTTGGTATCAGTGGCTTCAGTAAGACTGGCTCAGAACAGGCCAGTGTTCAGGGCTTCTGTACATAAGATCACTGTGGGTCTCAGGTGACTTGATGGTACATAACAATAATTCATGGTACATAACAATAATTCAATCCGTTTCTGGGGCCTTATTTTTTACCAATGCCTTAATACTGCTTGAACTTCATCTTTCTTCACCATTGGCTCTTATTCATTTGGTACTTTCTGAAATTTTTCCAAATCAACCAATTCTCTTTGATACAGTATTTCTGTGTATTCCTTCCATCTCCTTTTGATGCTTCCTGGATCATTCAAGATTGTGCCATAGTGTTTTTCAGTATTACAATTTGAGTTTTGAATTTGCTTTTCAGTTCTTTCAGCTTGAGAAATGCTGAGTAAGTTCTTCCTTTTTTATTTTTCCAACTCCAGCCCCTTGCACATCTTGTTGTAATGTTTCTCTTTATCCTCTTGAGCTGCCCTTTGAAATGATCTGTTCAGCTCTTTTACATCAGTGTTTCTTTCCCTTGCGCTTTGGCTTCCCGATGCTTATTAAAGGCATGCGTTCATTTAACCAAGGAAGCCATACCTAGAATTTTTATCAGGGTAAGTAAATAAAAGTCCAAAGTAATTATAAATGTTATTGTTGTTGCAATGTACCATCAAGTTGGAACCAACTCATAGCTGACCTTCCAGCAGGTTTTCAGAGGCTATAAATTACATGGGAGGAGATTTCCCATCTTTCTCTCACAAAGCAGCTGGTGGATTTGAACTTCATGCATTTGGATTGGCAGTGCAACTAGTTATCAGTGAGCCTCCAGATAGGACTAGCATAATTCGAACAAAGTAGTAAAAATTACATTAGCACATAGAAAAAAATTATAATCATGTTCTGTTAAAAGTAGAAGAAACAGCAAAATAGACCGGAGAGGAGGGAAAATACTCATTTTGTATAAAGATCAGATACGTGTCATATGGCCCATCCCATCTCTCCCTGCCCATCCCTCCCCCAGTTGGTTTTTCTCTTTGAAAAGTAAAAAAAAAAACCAACCCAAAACCCAAACCCCATCTTTCATTAATATACAATCCCCCCCAGTCCACTCCACCATGCAGCTCTCATTCTAGACTCTTGTCATGAAAATAATACCTAATCGTATATTCCTTTCAAATAGTTCTCTTCCTCATCTGTTTAAATGCATAATATATTATTTATCCCCTCTTTTCTTACTCTCCCTCAACCTGGATGTCAGTCCCATTTTACAACAGTGGCAATATGCAGTATTTGTCCATTTTTGACTGAGATATTTCCCTCAGCATAATGCTCTCCAGGATCACCCATTTTGTATAATATTTTATGAGTTCCTTATTTTTCAGTGCAACATAGTATTTCATTGTGTGAATATACTACAGCTTCTCTATCCATACATTTGTTGATGGGCACTTGGGTTGTTTCCAACTCTTTGCTATTGTGAACAAAGCTGCAATAGACATGGATGAGCATATATCTGCTTGGGTTGCAGTTATGGTTTCTTTTTTGGTATATTCCCAGTAATGGAATTGCTGGGT